CTCTCCTCCTCTTTCCTCCATTTCTCGATCACCATTTACATTTCTTCTCATGCTTTATTTATAATTAACCCGATCTATATATATATATACAAATAAGTTACTATGTCGGCATATTGCCGCCGGATAACCGCCGGCACCGCCGCATCGACGGCGGCGATGAGCCAGATTCAGCTCCGCCGCGCGGAAGTCCTGCAGCTTCCTCGGGAGTTTGTTGTTACAGATCGACGGAGAGGGATCGCCCTGCGATCGTCGTCCCGGCGGCGGTGGGTGATGGAGGCGGTAGGTCTGAGATCGGACGGTGGCGGTGGAGTGGAGGAGGAGAAGAAGATCAGGCCTTGCTCGTACGCCGTTGGAGATCAGAGGGCGGTGGGAAATTTGGTGGGAGGAGGAGGAAGTGGTGAGGTGGTGGCGGAGGCGGGAGGTGGAGTGGAGGGAGATCGGACGGTGGAGGTGTTGGTTGCAGCGGGGGTTACGGTGGTGCTTGGAGTAGGGAATCGGGTGCTATATAAATTGGCCTTGGTGCCCTTAAAGCACTACCCTTTCTTTCTAGCTCAGCTCGCTACTTTTGGGTACTCCACTCCTCTTCTTCTTTCTTTTCTTACATTTGCTCCTATAATCGAAGCTAAATTACACTCTAATTAATGAAGAATTATAATTAGCATTCGCGTAGAAATTAACTATTTTATTGTTATTATTTTTAATTGTTTTTTATGAAAAAAATGTTGAGAAAGTAAGAGGAGGGATGATGACTCCATGACTTTTGTTTTCGTTTTTGTTTTTGTTTTGTTTTGTTTTTTTTTACTATTTTAAGCTATTGACAAAATTGTATTCATGATTTAGCCGAAATTGTATTGAACTCTCTTACAATAACATAAGAAAATAATATATAAATAGAATTTAGGACAAATTGCAAGTACACCCTTTTAAATTGGTTTAAAATATGAAATGGGTTTGTTATTCTCAAAATTACATCTTGCATTTTTAATTTTGTAAATCATTAAATTAAATAACTAATTTTATTTATAAATCATTAAGTTAATTAATAATTTTTAATGACGTCAAAAATATATTTTAATTAGAAATTCTGATAATTTTATTATTGTAAGTGAGTAGTGAAGAATTTTTCTGTTGACTAAAAAATTCTAAGAATGGGATATTTGTAATTTTTAAAGCTATATGGATAATTTATATTTTAACAAATTTCAAGAGTTGTATTTATAATTTACTATAAAATTCAAAATCATAAAATATTTTTAAAATTACGTGAATTATGATTGACAAAATTAAATGGTTTGATTTGAAATTAAAGAACCATAAAAAACTTTATAATTTTGTATGAAAAATTTATATAAGTTTTTGTTTGTTTGTTTGTATTGTATTATGCTGGTTATAATTTTGATGTTTTGCAGGTGAAAATTGTTATAGGTATTATTATCCTTAAATATTCTGTATTTAAATATGTATAGGTATCAAATGACATAATTATTATTTTTAAAAAAATTTATGTAATAATCTTAAATTTTCAAATAATATTTAAACATGGAACAGGGATATGGGATATATAGATGCTAGATTAATGAAAGATAAATGTTTCAATATTTTGAAAACTATATTTTAAAAGAATAAAGTTGGTTGTAATTTGTTCATTACTCATTGGCGTACTTATAGCTTATGCCTCAACAGCTTATGGCTTATAACTTTCAGCTTAAGTTGGTTTTCAGCTTATTCTTAAAGCATCTCCTGTCCCACTCAAAGAATAAGTTGATTTTTGACTTCCAAAAAGCTATAAGCTAAACTAAACACATCAAAATAGCTTAAATTAAGCTGAAAGCTGAAATAAGCTGTAATTAAGCTCTGATTTAGTGTAATTTATCTTTCTTTCTTTCTTGTTTTTTTTTTTTTACTAAATTAAATTACATGGTGCCCAAAATTTTAAAATATAATCCCACACATCATTCAGCTTGTTTGGTTCCTATTTTTAAGATTCACTTTTTAAAAAATTAAAATTTTTTATTTTTCATATTTTTTTGTTTTCACTGAATTTTTTAATATTCTAAGCAATTTTTTTAATTTTTAAATACACCTAATATAAATACACTTAAAAAATATAATATTTGTGAAAAAAATCTTTAGAAAATTTATCAAATAACAAAAAAAATGAAAAAATACGAGAATTCAATACATATTTTGTATTTTTGTGTATTTATTGATTTTTTAAAATATCTTTTTACAAATATTTTACTTTTTAGATACATCTAAGTAAGATGCATTTCAAAAAGTAAAAAAGTTGCTTGAAAATTTTAAAATATTCACTGAAAACAAAAAAAATGCGAAAAATAAAAAATTTAATTTCTAAAAAATTGAATTCAAAAAATTAATATTTAACACACTGATTAGTTTTGACAAAAAAATTATTTGGAAATTTTCAAAAGCTAATTTTTAAAAACAAAACATTAAAAAAATATTTATACTTTTTTTTTATTTAAAATTTTCAAATTATTGTGAAATTAGTGATTTTTAAATTTTTACAAAAAAATATAAAAAAAAATAAAGAGATAACTTATATTAACAAATAAGTTGCTTATTAAGAGTTTGTTTGGGATGTGAGTTACATTTCTAGATATTTTAGCCTGAGATTAAAAAAATGTTTGTAATAGGTTTTTTGATTATTTTAATTTTTGTGAGAGAGAAAATAAAATAATTATTGTTTGTATGTGATGTTTTGTTTTATTAAATTAAAAAATTTATTTTGTTTTTTTTTTTCTTTTTTTTTAGTAAAATAGTAAAAAAATAAAAATAAAAATAAAAAGTCAAAAAAAACCTGACATGCCAAGGTTAAGTCACTAGTGGTTAAATTTTATATCGACAAAATTGTTTTTACATGGTCCCATCTATTAAGACCATTGCCGAGCGTTCTGATAGGTAGGGTATATTTTTCATGGACCTTGCTGGAGACCCCCCAGCTGGGGCAGACCCCCAGCACCCCCCACCTGCACGTGGGGGGCTGTGGGAGGAAGGCTTAAAAAAAAATTATATATATATATATATATTTTGCACTAATCAAAAAATAGTAGGGGTGGTGGGGTCACCCCGCTGGAGGTCCAAGCCACTTTCTATTTTTCATTATGACTTTTCCACTTGGATTAAAATACCTGCATTAAATTAGATTGTAATGATGCCAAACAGATACAATTATTAGTTTAAATTTCTAATATTTTAATTAAAATTAAGAGTATAGCAGTTTAGTCCGAAATTACATGAGCATATTTTGACAATATTTGAATTATAGAAAGCTTAAATGCTCCAACTTTAAACCACGAAAGATTAAAATGAATTCTGTTCTTTCGACAATAAAGATCATGAAATGGGTCTACATCAGTGGTCTCAGGTCCACTTTGAAGATTCAAGCCTGCCTTTGTGTGTAGATTAATTATGAAAAAATCATCTTGATCTGATGATAGTAAGAACGTGCTTTCATCATTATGTAGCTGTTGAAAAGGATGTCAAAACTAAAATTTGACAATTATACAGAGGAAATTAATAAATAAATAAAAAAAGACATTTATTGTATTGGAATCAAAGTTAAATTTTTATACTTTCACACGATAATATTACCAAAATTTGATTTTGTCAATTCTGTTGAATGCTGAATGGCGTACTTACTTGCACCAAAGTGCTTCCTTTTCTTTTTTTTTTGGCCTATTGTGGATTTAATTGTGGGAAGAAATTGAATATTTGTAAAGATAAAGCAACATTGAGAGAACAAGACTGGTCCAAAGGACGCAGCGAGCCTGCAAATGTAAATGGTCAGTCATGTCAGGGGCCCAATTCGATTTGCTTAGAGCCTCACAGAATCATTTTAATCATCTTCTAATTAAAGTTAGTAAAATGCTGCTGTGAAGTAGAATTGATTCACACCTGCGGGTCCTTTAAATTTCTGCCTGCCCACATGTTTATTTGTTGATGGGGGTATGTAGGCCCGACCACAAATGCAAGAATCTTCTGTGACTTCATTTTTTCATAATAACAATAAAGACCATTGATCTTTACTGCTGCTTTGCACATTCCACATGTGGGATACTTACCCAAATTACGTTTTCATTCCCTGAATAAATCAGAGAAATTTTTTATAATACACACTCCATTTATTTATGCTCAGTTACGTCCTTTCCTTTTGTGATATTTGGTTATAAGTTAAGTGGTGCGTAGTTATGACTCATTGTGGCTACGGAGCCCTAGTTTTTTAATTTTTTAATGATTCATTATAGTATTGATTGTAATCTTAGTTATAACTAATTGTGATTGTTATTTTGGTTGAGGAAAGTTTTTGGTTGTACTTGAAGTGATGTTTGGTTATGATCTTGTGGCTATGATAAAAAATGACTTGGTTATAAGACAAAGTCGGTATCAAGATTAGAAAATATCATAAATCATTACAAACTGATGCAGTTATCTGATCTGCGACAATGTGATCCCATTCATCAATGTGTTTGGTTTTAGTTTGCTAAATTCGGTTTTTTGAAAACTGAGTTTTTTGTTTTTTCGTATTTTTTTTTGTTTTTAGTGAATATTTTTAAAATTTTAATTTTTTTTTTTTTTTATACTTTTTTGATTTTTATAAAAGTAAAAGTGAAATAATTATAATTTAGATGTAATATTTATGTATCTAAAAAGTAAAATATTTGTGAAAAAATATTTTAAAAAATTAATAAATACACAACCACTTTGTTATTAGAATTGTACGGTTCGCGATTTGAATCGTACGATTCGATGTAGATAATCGATTCGAATAGGTTGTGTGAATTGCAAATAGTTATGAATCGTAGGTGAATCGGCGAACTGAATCGGTGAATCATGAATTGATTCGATTCGCTAAAATCAATATTTGGTTTTCTTTTTTGGGTTTTTATTGTTGGAAAATGATTCATACAATCTTTTTAAAGTCTTTGGGATACCTATATGCCATCTTTTGACTTTCTCTTTCTCCCTATTTACTCTCAACGGTAATGATACATCCCACTAAAAGTGGTGCTCTAAAGCACCACTAATGAGTTGGCAAGCACTTTAAATAAATAAAAAAAAAAAAAAAAAAAGACACAAGCAGTGGGTCCCGTCCACTGCCACATCACTAGTGGTGTTTTTAGAGCACCACTTTTAGTGGTCTCAAGCATTATTGTTACTCTCAAATACTCAACCTTTAGCTCCCAAAAAAAGAAGAATTTTCTCTCTGTACAATATTCTAGGCTTACATATTCAATTTTATCTAAATACTTGCATTTATAAAATGAATTTTTTGAAGACATCAAGTGAGATTTTTGAAAAGTTTGAAAATTTTGATTTTTTAACTATGTAAAAAGTTAAAGTCATTGTTTTTGAGTTATTGTTACTTGGAAATTGAAAGTTTGTCTTCGTTTGCTGTCTTCGTTTACTTTCTTCATTAACAACGGTTGATAATAAATAGTATCTAAAAGGGAAAAGGTAAAGTGGTAAACATGAGAATCAATGTTAACTTTTTACCTAGACCACACGATCATCATTTAGTGATTTATGTCTAAATATTTCATATTTATTAGATATATTTAATATTTAAGTGTTTAGATATAAGAAGCTGTCCATGAGATACAAACGGTGGTTCGGGGGCTGTTTTGAATTTTCGCCTCCAAAACGCCCTTTTTCGAGTAAGTTTAAGGCGTATTCGGCTCTAACTCCCAATCTACAGGTTCGGATTACATTCCGTTAGTTGTCACAAATCCTATTTGTCATGGAGAAATTGTCCGTGAGAGCCACATGGTGGTTCTGGGGCTGTTTTGAATTTTCGACCCGAAATGCCCTTTTTCGAGTAAGTTTAAGGCGTATTCGGCTCTAACTCCCAATCTACGGGTCTGGATTACATTCCGTCAATTGTTACAAGTCCTATTTGTCATGGGAAAACTGTTCATGTGAGCCATATGGTAATTCGGGGGCTGTAATGAATTTGCGTCCCCGAAATGCCCTTTTTCGACTAAGTTTAGGGCGTTTTCGGCTCTAACTCCCTACCTACGAGTCTTTATTACATTCCGTCAGTTGTCACACGTCCTATTTTTCATGGGGAAACTGTCCGTGAGAGGCACACGGTGGTTGGGGGGCTGTTATGAATTTTCGCCCCCCAAAAAGCTCTTTTTCGACTAAGTTTAGGGCGTATTTGGCTCTAACTCTCTACCTATAGGTCCAAATTACATTTCGTTTATTGTCACAAGCTCTGTTATTCGAATCGTACGATTCGATTCGATTCAGTAGGTAATTGATTCGAACAGGTTGTGTGAATTGCAAATAGTTATGAATCGTAGGTGAATCGGCGAACTGAATCGGTGAATCGTGAATTGATTTGATTCGCTAAAATCGATATTTGGTTTTCTTTTTTGGGTTTTTATTGTTGGAAAAGGGTTCATACAGTCTTTTTAAAGTCTTTAGGATACCTATATGCCATCTTTTGACTTTCTCTTCCTCCCTATTTACTCTCAACGGTAATGATACATCCTACTAAAAGTGGTGCTCTAAAGCACCACTAATGAGTTGGCAAACACTTTAAATAAAAAAAAAAAAAAACAAGACACAAGCAGTGGGTCCCGTCCACTGCCACATCATTAGTGGTGCTTTTAGAGCACCACTTTTAGTGGTCTCAAGCATTATTGTTACTCTCAAATACTCAAACTTTAGCCCCCCAAAAAAAGAACTTTCTCTCTGTACAATATTCTAAGCTTACATATTCAATTTTATCTAAATACTTGCATTTATAAAATGAATTTTTTGAAGACATCAAGTGAGATTCTTGAAAAGTTTGAAAATTTTGATTTTTTAACTAGGTAAAAAGTTAAAGACATTGTTTTTGAGTTATTATTACTTGGAAATTGAAAGTTTGTCTTCGTTTGCTGTCTTCGTTTGCTTTCTTCATTAAGAACGGTTGATAATAAATAGTATCTAAAAGGGAAAAGGTAAAGTGGTAAACATGGGAATCAATGTTAACTTCTTACCTAGACCACATGATCATCATTTAGTGATTTATGTCTAAATATTTCATATTTATTAGATATATTTAATATTTAAGTGTGTAGATATATTTTCTATGTAATTAAAAAAAGGTGACCGAATCTTTATGATTCACGATTCAATTCGCGATTCGGCCCAATACCATTTCAATTCACGATTCGAATCCCGATTTGACAACTATGCACAAACATATGAAAAATATACTGAATTTTCGTTTTTTTTTTTGTATTTTTAATATTTAGTGAATTTTTTGAAGATTTTTTTCACGAAAATTATACTTTTTAAGTGTATTTATATTAGGTGTGTCTAAAAATTAGAAAAAAAAATTCAATAAAAAAAAATATGGAAAACAAGAAAATAGAATTTTTTGAAAAGTGTTTTCAGGAAATTGGAAACAAACATAGTGATTAATTTTTGAAGTGTTGTCTTCCTTTCAGTCTATGAACTTCTGGAATGCAACTTGTTTGTTGGCAAGGCATTTTCTTCAACAGAAATTTTGGACATGTTTTATTTTATTTTATAGTGGCTGAATGTCTTTTATGTTAATATCTGATAGAACGAAATTAGCGAGGTACACTAGTTCTAGCCACTAGGTTAACCCTAGTGATTGGAGAATAATTTTTCTTGGTTGAGCTAAATGCTTCATTATCAGAAACCAAAAGAATATAAAACATAATAACAATTAAGACCATTGATCTTTACTCGGTTTCTGATACAAGCAAAAATAGAATTAGAGCATTCCTATACAGGACAGAACAATCTGTGGCCTACAATTTCGTGGAATAAACTAACTTCAATATTTCCTTTTGCATCTTTTCCAGATATGTAATTGTATACTTCTCAATCTTGTATCTCCGCTATCATGCTGGCATCGTAACAGATGAAATGCTTTCCTTGCCAAAAGCTCCATTTCTTGCTGTTGGTCTCTTGGAGGCTCTTGGTGCTGCTGCTGGAATGGCAGCTGGAGGTAACATCTCTTCCACTTTTTATCTCTTTCTATTTTATTTTTTATTTCACAACACAAATATCTCTGGAGAAAAGTTGACTTTCTGATGTAAGTGTATCATTTTGTATCACATTCACTTATTTATATTTCTTATTCTGTATTTTGACTTGTTTCCATCAAACTGAGCTGGTAGTATTCATATTCTTGTCAAAATTTCTCCCTTAACCAGGAGGTTTGGCATCTTAAGAAGAGATGCTAACATGTGAAAATGATATGGAAAAGTATATTTCTTTTGTTTTAAGTATTTAATTTATTGTATGTTGCTTGTTGACTAGTAAATTTAGTTAGTCAAGCTGTAACTTGGATATGGATGGAACCATCAAATTTAAAGGCTTTAAGTTGAGTAAAATAGAAAATTAAAGAGTGATTTTTGTAAAAAATAGGAGTGAAGATGAAGGTATAGAGAGAATTTAATAGCCTAGAGACGTATTTTATTCATCATAGAAGAACTTGCCATGTCCAATGGATTCTATTATGAAATGAGCACATAGTCAATGTTTCTTTATAGTACAAGTAATAGGAAATTAATTAATGAAATTTTCAAAAAATTGGTGAAAATCATAAGATGGATGAGTGGGAATTTTAAGTTAGAAAACAAAAGTATTCGTGAAAATTATTTGTTGATAGCTTTATTTCTTTCATTTTTTTTTTGTCTGTAGCAGATCCCAGATTGGAATGGTATATTAATATAACTTGATCACTTAATAATTTCTAGTTATACAGGTTTTAACCATGACCTAATGTATTATATTTGTTATTCTCTTCCCGAAACAGCAATCCTTTCTGGTGCAGCAATTCCCATTTTGTCTCAGGTAAGAACAGCCATAATCCTCAATTAATTTGCACCTCTTATTATGGAAACCCTTTTTTTATTGCCCTTCTTGTTTTTGTAGTTCCTAAGAATATTATTCTAAAACCATGATTCCTGAATTGCCAAAGCTTTATTCATGTACAAAATTGAAGTTTCAAGAACCTAGAGATCTGGGTGAATAAGGTCATTGCCCTGTCCAGGGTGTTAATTTTGTACATGAGATTTTTAAGAAGTATGACTACAGAGGCTAATGTGATTAAAGAGCTTTCAAAATGGATTTTCCAAGCAAGAACCATTTCATTAGTACCAAATTTTATAATATGTAAATAAATACCAAATTTATTATCAATACATTGTTACAACGCTTGTGGGCTTGGGCCATCTGATGATGTTTTTCTTCTAATTTACTTCATTGAAATTTGAGACTTAATTTGGTCACCTGTTTCATTGTTTGCAGAGCTTTCTAGTTTGGCAACTTCTACTTTCATATATATTCCTTGGGAGGAGGTATAGATTCAATCAATTACTTGGGTGCTTTCTGGTGGCCGTTGGTGTAATCATAACAGTAGCAAGGTAAGCAAGATTGGATTCTTAAATATCAGTCTCAATTTGAGCAAGTTTATATGTATGTGGATATGTAAATTGATCTCAATGATGATTTATTTTAAAACATATGCACCCAATTGAAAATCACTTCAAAAAATCTGTCCCTCCAAAGATCTTGAAGCTTCAAGGATGTAGGACTTATAATAGGACTAGAACCTTGAGGCAGGTAAGTTTAAGCTTGAAGCTCCAACATTTCTTTTCTTTACTTACTAGATTCTCAATGAAGTAAAATCACAAGCAATGTTGATTTTCTTTTTACATTTTTTTGTTTTTGTTTTTTCTCCCTTGATTCTCTTTCATAGTGCTGTGACCTTTGGTAAAGCATCACTGTATGTTGGAATTATGCTCAATAATTTCAAGATGCCAATGATCTTCTGTCATGTATTTACGTCAATTGAATATTATTTGAAGCATCACTGTATGTTGGAATTATGCTCGATAATTTCAAGATGCCAATGATCTTCTGTCATGTATTTACGTCAATTGAATATTATTTGACTAGTGCTTGGGCTGAAATTTGGACAAGGACAGTACAACCATTGTGTGAAAGTTGCTTGCGCTAGCAGTATGTCAGGCCACCATGGTGAATGACTAGTCCATTTAGTTAGATTTTCTGAAGGGGATTGGTGAGACTTTACTAGAAAGTTCTCTAGTCATGAGTTTGCAAATTTCAGAGCCAATACTGCATTATTATGTTGGAGAATTTCATGCACTTACATGATTTATCTCATAAAAGAAATATTTCACTATTTTTGTCAACACAATATAATTTTATTAACCAATCTAGCAAGAACAAACTTCAAGTTTTCTCTTTGTTTTGTTTTGTTTTTTCACCCACCAGACATAATTACGGGAATGGCTATTGTGATCTTTTCTTCATAACTACAGTTACTTTTGCAGTGGATCTAGTGCTGCTGGTTCATTGATGGAAGGTGGTGTATTCTGGAGTCTCTTGATGATAGTTTCTTTTTTGTTTCAAGCTGCTGACACAGTATTGAAGGTTGAAGCTTCCTCAATGAGTTGCTTACTTTCCTCATTTTCCCATCTTGTCATACTTTTTATCTTACAGTCGGCAATTTTTCATCTGTAGGAAGTAATTTTCTTGAATGCTGCTCAGCAATTGAAGGTATTTTTTCTACTGGATTTGTTCCCTTAAAACGTTTCTAGGATCCGTTAATGTTGTGACATCCAAAGGCCATGCTTTGGATGTTGGTGCCATAACAAAATTAGATAATTCAATCTTAGTGCATCTGACAAAACAGTTTGATCTGCTAGATTGGATTCAATTAGGTTGTTAAAAAAGTGGTATGATCACAAAAAATGATTTAGAAAAGACAAAAAAATGAAATCACAGTTCATGGTTTTGAACTTTGTCTGGCACACTGAAGGACTATCAAATGGAAATGGAATAGAATATAACTCATGCTTGTCAAAATATATGACGTTAAAGGTGGACTGCATAAAGTTTGTTAATTTGTTTTCCCCTTTATATTTAAAGATCTGACGATAACATTATCATAATTCTATTGCATTAATCACAGGGTCGTACGGTGGATCTATTTGTTGTAAATTCCTATGGATCTGCTTTCCAGGTAAGGCTCATCACTGTGTTCATAATTTTCTTTTCCTTTTACTTGCTGGGAAAAAAAAAAAAAAAATCCCCTTTTGGAGGATCATTTCTAATTTTAGCTCATCCATGTGTTCTGTTTTATGTTGCAAATTGGAATGAAATCCTGACAATTTTATGTTTTGTGCAGGCACTCTTTATATTCCTTCTCCTACCTTTTTTGTCAAAGTTATGGGGTATCCCATTTTATCAACTGCCAAACTATCTAAAAGATGGTGCGGCCTGCTTTCTGAACAATGGCACTATCTCAAGTGGTAAGCTTTATTGTCCACAGTTCAACTTCTTTTGTGAAGATTTAGTTGAAATTGAAAGAAAAGAAAAAAAGAGTAGAGAGAATAGAAAGAAGATATATGTTGTTGGAGAAAAACAAAGGAGAGATCAAAATTAGGGTTCTTTCCCTTTAAACCTTGTATTAATAGTGGCTTAGTACATGTTACAAAAATACTCACTTGACTACTACATGAAATCAAGAAAACCCAGTACTCAAACAACAATAGCAAAACCAACAAAAACTAGAAATAGCCCCCAAAAATTGCTTTGCTAGTGGACTGTCCGAGGGCAGAGCAATGAAACAAAAGAGATCCTTCAACCAAGAAAGGTCATCCTCCGAATATCTGATGTAGGGGAGAATATTAAATACGAGTACTCAACAGTTTGCATGATTTCTCATAAGTGCAGCACCTCCTCAAGATACAATAATTAGTTCTTACCCAGCAAATTTGGTAATGACAATTAATAACCCCCTTGAGCCCTTTAAAATAAGACAATTACTAATAAGTTGATCGCATTAGTTTCTAGTTGAAATTGTGTAGCTAAGCTACATTGCCAATCTCTGCAAATGCCAGAAATTAGCAGGATTACTACTAGTAGTATGAAATGGGTTTATGGTAGAAGAGACAAAAAATTATAGAAAACATAAAGATTAAGAGATACTTCAGGATTTGATGGCATTGCAGTTGATGTTTCGATCCTGTATTGGTATTGTTGGTAATATCAACCGAATGAACATGTAAGACCATATGAATAATATATGAGAATGGAAGAGATAGTTCAACTTGGTATGGTGGGAATCCAGATTTTACCATTTTTTGTCATATTATATTTGCCTTTCTACTCTCATCGCATTGCATTGAATTGGAGGAGTAATTGATTTGATTTCTTTTGTTATCTTGTGGGAACAGGATGTAATGGTGCACCACTGCTACCGTTGCTGTTTGTTATTGTAAACATGGGTTTCAACATATCATTGTTGCATCTGATCAAGATATCTTCCGCTGTGGTATCTTGTCTTGCATCCACTGTTTCAGGTTTGTCAATTCAACCCACATCCTTGGAAGTATTTCTGGATTGATTGAGTCATTCTTTGTTATCTGAAAAGGTCCCGACTTGCACAAAAGTTTGGCCAATTAATTGTTACTAAAATAAGAAGAAAAAAAATGAAAGAAAGAAACTAGGTGATGCAAAATCTGTTGACAAATTTGGATTCTGTTAGACAGTGCAACACTACTCTTACATATACATTGGTTTGTTCTTTTGAATTTTTGCATGGCAGTGCCAATATCTGTGTTTCTCTTCACACTGCCACTACCGTACCTTGGCGTTGCATCCTCCTTACCACCAGGCTTTGTGGCAGGCGCAGTCGTTCTCCTAGTGGGCATGCTTATTTATGGTTCGACGCCATTATTGACTCCCTCCTCTACTGACCCTCAGCCATCAGTCGACTAAACTACACGAACGATCATGATCGTGATCGTATTCGTCATCGTCAAGCTAGCTCAATTATTATTTGGTGAATAATTTTGCAATACACTACACTTGCCATGTTTCTATACCATATTGGTGTAATGGATCCCACAACTTATCCAATGCAGTGCTGACAAGTAGACTGACACATCATATGGTAAAAAATAAGATGGTAGAGATTGTAACATTATTACTCATAATGTTGTTATTGTAATAGCTGTGTTTGTTTTAATAATTTAAAATGTCCATATTGGGGACTTGTATTTTTAGCTATCAAACACATGGGTATTTCACAAAGGTGGCCCTGTTCTCATTTCTCACTCCTCTTTTGATCAATAAATAAATGTATTCTATATTTTGCCTTTATTATTATTATAACTTTTATACAAATAACAAACAGTCTGTTTGGTTTTAATTTTCTGAATTCAATTTTTTTTTAAAAATTGAGTTTTTTATTTTTGTTTATTTTAGTGAATATTTTTAAAATTTTAAGTAATTTTTTTATTTTTTTAAATTCACCTTAAAAAGTAAAATATTTATGAAATAATATTTAAAAAAATTAATAATTACATAAGATTTGCAAAAGAATTATAATTACAAATAAAAAGAAAGTTTTTTAAAATTTGCAAAAGAATTATAATTTAAAAAAAGAAAAATTACAAATAGATGGAATGGAGTAACTACTTTTTATAGATAAGATTATTCCTTTTATAATGAATATGTCCTCTCTTCTTCCTTTCTTCGGAAAATGTTTGGTAACTTGAATTTTTGTGACTCGAATGTATCAAAACTTTCCAACCATTCTGTGCCCAATCCAACCCCTTTCTTACTTATCCTTATTCTCGATTGGATTGAACCGAGCCGAATTGTTTATACCATTAATCATGGACCTCATTTTAATCGTTCATTTCTTTAAATTCTTATTTGTAAATTATTTATGAAAAAAAAAAACTAGATTGATTCTATAATTTTAATTACATGATTTTATCAATTTTTTTATTTTAAAAAAAAATATTTTTTTGTAAAGACAATCAATCTAATGAATTTATATAATTGCGAACAAAGGTCTAAAAAATAAATAAATATATAGTTTTGGATCATTAGTAAAGTATAGGTATGAGCTGTAATGGACCCACGGCCCAACTAAACCCAACTGGACTAGTTTCCAAGAGAGAATTTAGGGCACGGTCGCCCCTAGGTCCATCCCGTGCATCCAAGCCCCTCTCCTTCTCTCTCTCTCTCTCTCTCTCTCTTCTCTCAACAAATTGAAGGAATTCAAAAGAGAGAGCAATGGTGAGAGGTTCTCATCTCCCACCCGTTGCAACTCCAGTTCTATTTGCTATTAGACCATCTCTTTTTCCATCTCTCAACTTTTTTTCATCATCATCATTGTTATCACCATCTTCTTCTTCTTCAACAACCCTAACTAGACTCTCTTCTACCTTTGCTCCCTCACACTCACGCTTACCCAATTCCTCCCATCTTCCCCTTTTCGGCTTCAACCGTGTCCCACCTATGGTGGGTCATCTCTCTCCCAAAGCCACAGGTTCTGCCCTCATTTCTATTCATTTTTTCTTCTTTTTTTATTTTCTCTCTGCTGTTTGGTTGTTGAGAAAACATCGACACTAGATTTTCCTTTTCCTTTTCTTTTTCTCGGCAGGAAAACATAGGGTATTGTTTTTACTTGCTTATGACGTTCTGATTGATAATTAATCAATTTTCAGTTTTATGTGTTTTGCTGTTGTTATTAGGCCATCTCTTCCAGCTTTTACTAATATTTTTTTTACTTGAGATTACAGAAAGGGAAAAAAAAAAAATTTTGAGTAAGAAGCGTTCATTTGATATATAGAGTACTTGAATGGGTCAAATCCAGATTTTAGTGTAAATTTGAATAAAAGTTTGGTTAGTGGTGGAGTTTCACCCATTTGTACAAGTGTTACTCCATGAGGCACAAGGCTTACAATGCATTATGTGGGTGTTATTAGAAGCTCCTCACAAAGTAGTCTTTAGAAATTTGCGGGAAAAAAAAGTCTCCTTTGATTTGATTACAAATTTGAGTAAAACTCAGTTTGATATGAGTTTGAATAAAGGATTGGAGAGAATTTTTTAGGCTTTTTACTAAAATTTAAATTTGATATGGGTAAAAGGTACAACAGTGGTAGGAGCACGGTTGAAATTCATATAACAGAATGGGCCACAGATGTGAGACAGAGGGACCCTTCATGAATTCCGTTAGAAAATGAAGACTTATATTTTACCCATGTCTTTGTTGGATCATTCCAAATTTTGAAGCTCATATGTTACCGTGACAAACTTTACCTTTTATTGTTGTTTTGCCTCCCATTTCCGTCCCCATTATTACTAGAGCATAACAAAGCACTGAGACTTTCTGGTGAATTATTCTTGTAACTATTTACTCTGCTTGATTTTTGTTTTTGTTAACACATGTAGAGTATATTCTCTTTCAGCTTCATTTAGTGGTGAGAGCACCTCTGGAGGTGGTAAGGAAATACTTGTGCAGCATTTGCTTGTTAAAGAAGATGACCTGAAGCTTTTGGTGGAACTTCAGAAAAAAATTTCAGAAGGTTGGTGTTTATAACTTTGGTATCTGAAGAAGGGAGACAATAGCTAATTTATACCATAGTATAACTAATGAAGATGCATAAGTTGCTCGATCTAAAGAACTGAATTTATTGAACTGAGATTTTAATTTCAAAAGATATGGACTCAATATACTAGATGTGCCTTTTTGAAATTGAAAGTTTTCTTGATTTGTCTTTTATGATTAGCTGATATTATTTGTTACATCCAGGAGAGGATCTTAGTGACTTGGCTGTAGAATACTCAATTTGTCCATCAAAAGAGGAGGGTGGAATGCTTGGTTGGGTGAGAAAGGGTCAAATGGTATGCTGGTCAGATATATTATTGTCTTATCTTTTAACAGATTTGGGGTTTTTGAAGATTAAAATGAATTTTTGGGAGCCTTTATAATCCATTTGGATCTTGTGATTTAGTGAGAAATGAAGTGGAACAGAACTCTTTTATCATGTTTGGTATTCAAAGTTAGGTGAGAAATGGAGAGAAAGAGAACTCTCTTATTATTATAGGTTTTATTTCTCACCAAAAGTTTGAGATTTGGTGAGAAACAAGCTGATTGGTGGTGTATCTTGCCCATTAAAATAAGAACAAAAAGATGAAATATCACCCATCCATATTCCTATATCACATACTTTGCTTTCTTACACATCCAAACATGATAGTGAGAAAATACAATCATTTTTTTTCCCTTCTCACCCAACAATCCAAACGAAGTGTTAGATAAGGTTCCATTACTAAACTTTCCCTTGTAACTAATGGCTACTTTTGTGGTGAAATGTCCCAGGTACCAGAGTTTGAGGAGGCTGCTTTTAATGCATCTGTAAATAAAGTTGTGAGATGTAAAACTAAATTTGGATGGCATTTATTGCAAGTTCTTTCTGAGAGGTAGTCTCGAGAACCTATTTTTTGAGTTGAATATCGTTCTTGATCAAGTAATGCAGGTGCTGACTTTCACTTTTGTGTGTACTTATATCTCCAAGGGAAGAATCTGTACTTCAAGACATTCAGCCTGATGAACTGCATGGAAAAATGCAAGATCCATGTTTCATTGAAGCGGCTCAATTGATAGATGTTCGAGAACCTGATGAAGTGTATGCTGATCTATTTTTTTCTGCTGCTTCTTAGTAACTAGCCAGAGAAACTTTAATATAAATCTTCTGCTTTGTGAGTATTATAAATGACTAAGATGGGTGTATGCTTATTAGTGTTGTGTGCAAGTTTCATTATCTAAGTTTTTGCTTGCAATATTATGCAGCTTTTGACTTAGTGAAATAAAAATGATTATGGCTGTGTGGTTAGGGAGTAGTTCAGCAACATAGTTGTGCAATCGATAATTGAATTATGAATTGAAATTATTTTGATTACAATTTCTAAAATACATAACAATATATATAAATAATTGGATATTAAAGATGCATTATAAATATGGAAAATTAGATATAAGTCAATGAAAGCTTGTTTTAAATGACAGGCACATGGTGTAATAATTAAGAGATGTGGGTTTGATACGTGACTTGATCTATGATCCTATATTACATTATTGATTGTGCTATTGATGACTATCTATATCCATAGATTTATGTGCTTATATGAATTAGAGGAAACAAGTATATCCAAGATCCATCATTGAGAAATCAAAATTTTCAAAATTTCAAATCACCATAGTGAGATAAATTTAACACAATGTGCTTTTGTATATAATATTATACCCATCACAAGATTCACAAGTTCCAATTCTAGCATTTTATTTTGAATGGTCTCTTTTGTATCCCAATTTTTTGTTTTGGAATGGTCTCTTTTGTATCCAAACATTTGTTTTAGAATGGGTTCTTCCTTACACATGTACCGATTTATACTTTAAATGAAGTTGACCTTTTTTTGATACTAGATCTTAGTAGCAGGAAATTCCTATAGGGGCCTCGTTCCTTGCTCGGGAATCTCGTTCCTGCCTCCTTCCCCGATGCAACTAATTGCAAAGTTTTACTAATTTGCAATTAGTTTCCCATTTCCCATTTATTTGATATTCCCCCTTCAATAAAATAGGTTGTTTCTCTATAGCAGAGACTTATAAATGATATCAATATCCATTTTCGTTTCTCTTCTCTCTCAGCATAGTGGTCACTAGCAATGCACTTGTTTGCATGAAAATGAATGCACATAAAGAGGCTGATATTATTTTCGAAACCAAGGTTAATGCATGAGGATAAAAAGTCCATTGTTTATTTATTTTTTAGGAAGGGCAGTATATGTAGCCTCCTATTTTCTTGTAGCATCCTTTCCTGGTTTTAAGAAACTATTTGTTTTGGCTTGTGTGCTTTGTTATTTGCTAGTAATCTTTTTTTTTTTTTTTTTTTTGTCTGTGCTGTTAATGCTTTGATTGTTTCTTGTATGACAGGGCTCAGGCATCTTTGCCAGGTTTTCATGTTCTTCCTCTCCGTCAATTTGGAAGCTGGGGACCAGAAATTACTACCAAGTTTGATCCCCAGAAAGATACTTATGTCCTGGTTTGTACACGCGTTCTTGTTTAGCACAAGATTGCACTTGTTTACCCCTTACAATGACTAGCGTCTTTGTGTTCAAAAGGAATATGCATTTCTTGAAAGTATAAAGTATAAAACATGTTATCCAAGTTTGTTTGATTGCTTTTAAATGCAGAAGAACTAGTCTTGCATTTAGGTTTGTATTCTTAGTCTAATATCAAAAGCTGTGTTACATGAACTCTTCTAAATTTGTGAAGTACCCTTGAGGGTATACGATGTGTCTGATATGCCTAGTTAGATGCACCAAACAAGTATGTATAATTAGTCGATTGTACCATATAAGTTATAACTATGCATCAGACTTCCATTTTATTTGTAAAATGCTTTCTTTTAGTTTGTAAACATCATTTTACTTCAAAAATAAAATAATATAGTTTTATGGAAATCTGGCCAACGTTTGGGTGTCCTTGGACATACAATTTAGGTGAATCCGATACATAGATGTGTTGTGGAAGCAACAGTAGTGACTTTGGCTGTATCATTTGCATTTATATCTCCGATAATCCAAATTATTATTTCTTGCCTATAGTGATGTCTCCTGTTGTACACAGAATCTGAAATTTATATCTATTTAGTTGTCTCTTTTGTTACACTCTTTGCCAATAGTACTAACAAGATTATCTGTGAATCCAGTGTCATCATGGCACGCGGTCATTACAAGTTGCCAAGTGGTTGCAGACACAGGTAAAAAACCTTTCCTATCTGTTTTCATTTAGAAATGCAATTTCAGAAGTTGAACTCTCGTTGAGGTGTATGCACACCATTTGGAAGTGTACTTTATCCATTCATTATTGTTTTTCTCGGTATCTTAGCATTTGAACTTCGAAGGTTTATGCGCAACGATTTATGGTGTTAAGAAAAAACTCAACATATTTTAATTGCAATTACTTGGGTCGAAACTACATGAATCCATCTCTTTATGGATTTAGTAGAAAACTTTTACATTGTACACCTCGCACCAAGTCACCTCGAGTACATGAGTTAGTTATCTGCAAGATTGACAATATAAATAAAAAATTGAGACTATAATAAACTAGAATATTTTGTTTTTGGTTGCAGTAAGACCCTCCTACTAGTTAGTTCTTCATTTAACATTTGATTATGTGTTCTTTTTTCTTTGCAATAATTATTATACAGATCATGTTTTCATAGTGAAACATGTTGCTCATCGACTCAGTTGTTCTTTTCGGGCGCTCACTCCCACTGCACACACACACACACACGTGCATGAATTGAAAAAGAAAATAAAAAATAAAAAAGAGTAAAGAAAATCAAAATCCTTCATTAAGTAGGTTCTGTTTCTATATTGTCTGTTCTGGAAGATACTAGAATGTGCAGTCTCTGGAAAACAACATTATATTGATTCTGGTAATGGTTTTGTAGTCGAAGACTCTTTTCCACCTTCTCATTGAAAGATCTTGTATTGATATGTTAGGGCATGCTAGGCTTATTCTTTCGGCTGACATGAATTAAAACTTTTCAGGGTTTTTCAAGAGTATTCAATGTGTCGGGGGGAATTCATGCGTATGCTGTGAAGGCTGATCCATCAATTCCAACTTACTGAGCAATGAGTATTTCTTTCACCAACGGAGTGTGGCCTTCTGTTTTCTGATTTCTTCTCCAGCCTAAAATTTTCTACTGTGTTGGCTCTACATTGTTCAAAGTCCTCTTTGATTTTTATCAAATAATTGAGAAACAAATCCGAGTGTTGGTGCGCGTAAACTGTTGCATGGAAAGGAAAAGATTCCATTTTATTATAAAAGTTTGGAGGCGTGAATAGTTAGTATTAACTTTGCTTTAAATTTTGAAATGAGAAAGTGGTGTTTTCCTTGTTTTGGTTTTATTATAATTACGTACATTTTTGTTTTTGTTTTTGTTTTTTTAATTTTCTTTTAGCATGTGCATTTATTAGTGGAATATTCCCTCTTGTGGTATCTGAGATTTTTATTTTCAAATTTTTTTTATTTTGGTTTTTTTTTTTTTTTTTTTATAGTGGGTAAAGATTATCCACATCTTATTTAAACTTTTAAAGCAATAGACTCTAATAAAAGAAATGTGTAACGTTTTACTCTTCACAATAACGTCAATGCCATCTTTTAGTAATGAAAACATTGTAGGTATATATATATACTAGCGTATGTCCGTGCCTAAAGGCACGGTGTAAATAATATTAAGATTAAAATGCAATTCTAAAAATATATTTTGTGGTATCTGAAATTTTTATTTTCAATTTTTTTTTATTTTGAATTTTTTTTTTTTTATAGTGGGTAAAGATTATCCACATCTTATTTAAACTTTTAAAGCAATAGACTCTAATAAAAGAAATGTGTAACGTTTTACTCTTCACAATAACGTCAATGCCATCTTTTAGTAATGAAAACATTGTAGGTATATATATATATATATATGAAAATTCTAACCATATATAAAATTAGTGCCGTTTTTGCAACCTTACAAAAACACAGCGTTTTCAGCCCAAAAACAAAACGTTGAAGTGTTGAAAAAAGCTAAACCACCATTTGAGAAGAGTTGGAAACGCAACTTTTTGTTTACCAATCTACCCTCATATCTTATAAATTGGGGCCTAGGGCAAAACGAAGCAACATTTGTCTCTTTTAGCTACTTCATTCTGCGAACTCCTCCTTCAAGTGGCACCGTGTAACTCCCTCGAACAACCGATGACCTTGCTATCCCCCGCCGAAGCTACCGCCGGATTCGTCGTCTACGTTCTCGCCTTCGCCGGATCTGCACCATCAGGTACGTCGAAAACTGTCTTCCATTTACTATCGCAAGTAGTGACGGACCTAAAACCATGGATGAACGAGTTCTTCATCTTGTCGACGACCTGCAGATTAGATCTGAACACCAAGGTATTCTGTACTTAGAACAATGACGCTTTTAAAAATTAAGAATTCGATTTATTTCCCATTAACTGAAGTGTAGTATATATGTATAAAACATATATGTAATATAGTGAGAGATATCTTCTAGACAGAAAACTAACCGCTAGAATTTGCTTCCATTGTTTGTCATTGAGGTACAATTTTTGTTTTTTTGTTTTTGTTTTTGTTTTGAAATATTTCAATTTGATTATATGAAACTCATTTGATAACTCTTTCAGCACATCCTTCTAATCTTTGTGACTCGTCGGTGAAGTTTTTTTCTGTGGTTTATGACTCGTGTGTATAGAAAAATCTGTTGTTGTTGTTGTTCTCTCAGAGACGTTTTATCAAACACCTGATATGCAAGTGGAAATGTTGAGCTATTTATGAATGGCACGATAAACAATTTATGTAGCATTCTTCAAATCGTTTTAAATGTTATCATTAGTTTTTTTTTTCTAATTGAGAAACCCATTGTTGTCAATGTAATAATTATTTATCCATCACACAAAAAACTATACCATTGCAATGAAAATCTAACACAAATTTCATTCAAAGATAAAAATAATTACGGAATATCAAAGCGCAAAAATATACTCTAAAACATAAAAGATCAGGTCCCAAAATATATTCTACATATCAATAAAACATAAAAGATGAGGTCCCAAATGAATCATGTACAAGTAAAAATGACCAATTCATTCCATCCTTCAAATTGCTTCTGTAGTGAGTCTGGTCCCTCTTATTCCAAAGCCAACTAGCCTGTAAAAATAGTTATTAAGCTTTTCATTCTTCAAAGTTGCTTCTCTAGCGAGTTTGGTCCCTCTTGTTCCAAAGTCAACAACTGCAAAAATAATTATTAAATTCCCCAATGAGTAGAAGCATTTACAAGAAAATGGATGAACAATTAAATCATCCATTGATGCAAAAAAATAAAATAAATACGCAATCCATAAACCTAAGAGATTCAATTAAGGTTTAATATGAATTTCATCTAGTTATTGGGTTCATATCAAATTGAAGTCATGAATGCCACCAGTTCAATAAATAATACATGGACCATAAATCCCCAAAATATCATTGTTTGTCTTGTATAGAAAAGATCACCACAATTATCTGTTGCTCTGATAGGTTTATTTCAATAAATAATAAATTCAATCACAACTCTTGTTAGTAAATTCACTTATTAGAACCATTTTGCTATCAAATAATATTATACGATTTTTTTTACTGTTACTAATGAAGGTTATAAGATCAAAGGATTATCTTAGTGGACTATCAGGTGTGATGTTTGGGTCTTACCACTACAGTCAACAGTATAATGCCACTTATTTTGTATTAACAGTCAGTTCATTTCACAAGAAAGCTATAAAAAAGATATTTATACTACTAAACTAACGATAAGTAAGCAAGCAAGCATAATTATCATTTTTTAGAATATATAAAAACAGAGGTATGTAGAAGTCCATCTTAAATAAATAATTAAATAACATGTTTGAGACTCGTAAACTACCCTTAATAATAACTAATAATATCAAATACATATATATTTAACAGTGTTAATCTAACAAAAAATAACTAACATTTGCCAATTAAAAACAATATATATAGATATTATCTCTTCTCTTTCACTATGACAGTGGAGTTCTAGTGTCATAAATAAATTGAGTCAAACCGAGTAGTAGATAGAGAATAGAAACAAACCCCTTTCCCATTAGTTCATTACCTAACCGTTGTGCCTTTCTTCTGTCAGTGATCTTGTGGAGGTTCCATGATCTATCACAGTGCATTCATAAACAAATACAAATTCCTAAATTCATAGTGCAGGTTGTTCACGTATTAACCTAAATTTGAAATGAACTTCTTTTAGTTATTGTCTTTCATTCTGCACAGCAGATTATATTAGTTCAATTTATAACATGAACAAAAAAAATAAATGAGTATACAGATGGCGTCCTCCACGTCAAGTGCCACTTCATCATGGCCACCAAGGATGTGTGATTGTGGGTTTGGACATTGTGTCGTAAAGCTATCAAGATCTGCCAAAAACCCTGGTCGTGCGTTCTACGTTTGCCCTAGAACTACGGTTCGTTTGTGTTGCCACTCTCTTATGCACTTAGTCACAAAACTCGTCGTTCATTTGTGGTTGTGTCGTATAGTATGCATGCTAACTATCTACTGTAATTTTGTCCAGCAGAGATGTGCGTCGTGGGTTGGTTGGTGTGACGAGTTTCGTAGCACTAGCTTGTGTACTGACCAGCCACATAATGATGTCGATCAGGAGTTACGAGCGGACGTTGCGCGCATAGATTAGAGCCTACGTATGCTTAGAACCGTCTTCGGTTTTTTGTGCGTCATTGTTTTGGTGTTGTTGTTTCGGATGTGATGTATTGACATGGATATGAACTGCGTAGTTACTTTCTGTATCACATATGTATGTTGCTGTCAGTTAGATGTTTTGGTCCTGTTACATAAGATTTCCCCAACGTGTAGTACAAACGGACTTTGTCTTTCGGAAAGTGTTGTACTGTTTTGTGCTTATTACTGCAGTAACCATGTTTACAGTTCCCCGATCCCCGACGGGGAACCTGTCACAGTCCCCATCCCCGTCCCCAACGGGGATCGGGTTTCCCCGACCCCGAAAAGTCCCCGATCCAACTCTGTTTCAACATTCAACAACATCAACAGATAAAAAAAAAAAAAAAAGAATAACAGATCATCAAAAAAAAAAAACAGATCTGTTTCAACATTCAAATTTCAACATCATCAACATAGATCAACAAAAAAAATAACAGATCAAAAAAAAAAAATTTACAGAACATTAGATCAAAAAAAAAAATTTACAGATCATCAGATCAAAAAAAAAAAATACAGATCATCAGATCAAAAAAAAAATTACAGATCATCAGATCAAAAAAAAAAATTACAGATCATCAGATCAAAAAATCAATAACAAATAAAAAAAAGAATAACAGATCTTACAGATCTGAGCTGATGAGGGCGGCGGAGGAGGATATCGACGGAGGAGGGCGGCGGTGGAGATCGGCGAGGGAGATTGGCGATGGAGATCGACGATGTGCTACACTCCATTAGATCTACCGTGGCGACGGAGGAGGAGGCTGTAGTGGCCTGGAGAAGGAGGAGAAGGAGGTGGTGGCTTGGAGGAGGCTCCTGCGTCTGTGTCTGTGTGAAGAGAAGAGAAGAGAGAGAGTGAGAGAAGAGAAGAGAGTGTGAGTGAGATAGAGCTTCTGCTGCTGAGTTATTCAACAAACAGGGGTTGAAATATATTTAATATAATATATAAATATAATATAATATAATATATAAATATAATAGAGAGTGTGAGATAGAGCATGTCAGAGTGTAACATATATATAATATATATATAAATCGGGGGGCTGACCGGGGCAGGGGGCGGGGCCGGGGCGGGCCGGGGATGAAATATATATCACCGTCCCCGGCCCGAATGTCATCGGGGATTTATTTTTTAATACCATCCCCGGCCCGTCGGGAGTATTTTTCGAGGAAAAACCACTTTTATCGGGGACGGGGGGTCGGGTCCCCGTCGGGCCGGGTTCAAATTGTCATCCCTAACACCGTGCCCCTTCAAAGTATCGAGGTAACGCTGTCACAGCAATCCAACCCCAGCTAGTCCACAAATGCCAATTCGACAGCGACAATACAAAGCTGTTTCTTCAATTCATCATTGCTAAAATGGAAGGTGGTAATCGATAACCGTACGGATTGTCCATGGCAGGGTATAAGAACGTAGCAAACATATTCCTAGAGAAAACCGGCCTACAATATTCAGCCAAACAAATGAAAAACGAGTTTGACAACTTGAAGAAAGATTGGGTCGCCTGGAAGAAGTTGGAGAATGTCAGCCACGGCTTGACAGGGATTGGGTACGACCATGAGACAGGCTTGATCACTGCACTTGACCATTGGTGGGCGAAAATGCAAGCAGTATGTTTTCACTAAACTTTTATGGTACGAGTTACATTTATTGTTTTCTAATTACATTTCAAGCTGTAGTAAAACTTATGTGTTTTCTCCTTTACAGATGAACAACCGATGTGCTAAATTCAGGAGTAAGCCTGTAGAGCACGTGGATCTCATGGAGCGGGTGTACTCTGGTGTCACGACCCAAACCCGCCCCTATAGGTTTAGCATCATAACCGGCCAATAATCCTTGGATTACCGAAGGCCTCTGAATAGATTAACAAAATTAAGGGGGCTAGCGAAAGCAAATACATAATATAATTGTTCAATGAGCTGTGCTGACTTATATGAAACGGAATAATTAAAACTTTATATACATATCCGATAGCCAACCATACATTATACCCACACACATTACAGTATTTTAAGTACAGCCAACAACAACAAATCAAGTCTTATACATATACAGAACCCAAAGGACTGAACATAGGACACTTCGGGAACCTCCACGTGAGGCGCAGTGGTTGGCTGACAACAGAAACACAGTACCAGACCAAAGCCTTCGGGCTTGAACTCCAAAACGTTCACCTATATACATATATATACAAACAGTGAGCTAAAGCCCAGTGAATAACATTAAGGTAAAGGGTTAGTAAACGAAATCTGAACATATCATAAGCGGAAAATAGATAAGAGCATAATCATTCTCATATCAGAACATAATAATGGTACATCCCATAGAACACATTACAGAACGTCTTCCGACTAGAGTAATTGGTTCCGGATACCGATTAAACACATATCACCACAATGAAGTGGCTAACGAGATCTCGTAATTACTTGTATGTCATGGACCTGCATTTTCATGCCGTCTCCTATGACTTGGGACTATCTATGGATGCCATAATAGATTTCAAACTTAGGATGCTCGTTCACGTAAACAGATATTATTTCAGAAATCATAGCTTATCACATTTCATTTGGAACATAATTCATATCAACATATCTTTATAGAAATGTTACTCACAGTGGTTCTTGCAAACGGTCAATCAATCCTCGGACATTGACCTACAAACACAAAGACACATAACACCAACAGATCTTATCATTACACAAGTACTTGGCAAACACGGCTTAGCTTACATTACGCTGGTCTTTGTTAATTCTTAGCTCATTGCTTAAAACACACCTGCTTGCCTTCCCTTAACTTAGTACATTCATTCCTTAGTGTGTTTCTAATCCATAACCTCATTATCAAAGCTTAATTAGGTCTTAGGAATGCCTAAGATGCAATGAGGATGCCAAAACATGAGTTGGAACACTTAGGCAAATTTTCTGAAAATAAGATCCCCGCTCGAGCGTAGACTTCCTCACTGAGCGGACATGCAAAATGAGAGGGGTCGCTCGAGTGTGACTTCCTCCGCTTGAGCGACCTACAAACTTGGAAAAAGTACTGGTTGGTCGAAATCCACGCTCAAGCTACAACTCCCACGCTCGAGCGTATCGACAACATGCAAAAGGGTTCGCTTGAGCATCCAAGTGGTCGCTCGAGCGGAGAGCTCATGACTGCAAAAAAATACTGAGAGCTCGCATTCTCCGCTCGAGCGCAGGTTTCCTCGCTCGAGCGGACTATGAAATTCTGCGTTTCCAAAAACAGGGCTTGAGCTTCAAAATGCGATTTCAATGGCTACACTCATGCATGGCTTGTTTTTAATGCTCGAAAACCTTTCTAAAACATGAACACTTGGTTGTTTACAAATTCTTTTGCTCAAGGCTCATGAATTTGCCAATTTTAAACTCAAAAACTCTTGCATGAAAGATCTTCAAACTATGTTCTTGATTTTCTCAAAACATGCAAACGTTGATCAACAAACTCATGAATTCTGAAACCATGGACATGATTAAAGCTCACATGCATGCAAGGACTTTAAAACTCAATTCAAAATGATAAAATCAAAGATGGTCTACCATGAATACACATGTGAGTAATCTACATGTTCAAAGACCCATTTCTTGCACTCTCATGAAAGTAGCTTAAAGCTTGATAAAATCATGATGCATGGAGGATAGCTACAGAAATTAGACATAGAATCCTTACCCAAGGCTTAAATTTCAGAAATGTGAGATGAATTTCCTAGTTTTTTTCTTCTTCTTCAAACTTATGAGCTCTCTCTCACTAAAGCCAAACTCTCTCTCTTAAGCTTGAACTCTCAACTTAATGAAGTATAAAGGGCCAAAGAATGTTGCCTACATTCTCTCATATCTCATCAGAAATTACGCAACACACACTCTCACATTTGAATACACTACACGTGCACATACATGCACTACTCCAACACACCCACAAGGATTTATCCTCTACACTCAACACCACCAAATGCCTCAACAGATGATGCACTCAAATACATTCTTGGATCATTAATAGGATTAGATTAGGTACCAATCATGCATCATTTAAATCAAACACAAGTAACCTTAATTAGTCAAGGTTAGCACAAAATTTAATTATTCAAAAATAGTTCTAATTAAGGCTTAATTTAATCACATGCGATTGTACTAAACTGAATCAGTTTTTTTTTAAAAAAAAAAAAACTTTTCAGATGGTTCTAAAAATTCTAGTCAACCCATGAACTCAAATTCGGTTTCTAAAAGTATTTAGGCTAACAACTTTAGATTCTAAGTAGAAACCATAATAGATAATTCTATGAATAACAGATAGAAAGCCAAATCATGAAGAATTATGTAATAAACTCAAAATCCATTCTATTTACTTAATTAGCATCCTTAATTACTGATTAGTAGCCAATTACGGGTCGGGGTTATTACATCTAGCGCAACAGCGACTGGGAAACATGCATGGACTCCAACAGAAGTGCAAGATGCTGCTGCTGCTGCGACCAATGCCATGGACGTGGATAGCGGGATGGGACCTCTCAGTGCAGGCACACCACTACAGCCGGGCCATGACACTGTCGGGGAGAACGTGGTTGATAGTAGCCTATTTGAGGATGCTCTCCTCCAGTCAGCTGTGGAAGGATCAACCAATCCAAAATGGCACAAGTGGGCAACGCCTGGTACTGTTGCTAGCAGCATGGACAATCTCGTGGAATTAGTGAGCAAACAAAGCAGGGAGCTGAAAATCACGCAATATGTTGTCACGGGTAAAGGTGACAACACAGTGGGGGACTATCTTGCACGGCTTATGAGCACGCCTGGATTAGAGACAGGCGGTAAGTTGTTTTCATTCGCATGTGGCATAATGGATTCACCCGATAATGGGGACATCATCATGGCCCTCTCCCAGAATTGCATTGTCAACTGGTTGACAGAGAAGCGTGCCTACACGCCGGCCAATGTTGGCAGGGATCGTGAAGGGGGGACACGGCTGTTCGGGAGTGGTGGTGCTGTTGACTTGGACTAGGCCTTTGTGGTTGGATTGTCATGTTACCATTTGTTTATCATGAGATTGTAGTATATTATGTTTGTTTGTATGGTGTTTGTTTTTTGGATGGTGAAGTCTCGAGACAGTTTGCATTTCTTTTATTTTTGTGTAGACATGTATGTATGCTTCTGCAGGACTTTGCAGGCTTATTTCGGTTTGTTGTGCTTCTATTTTGGTGTGGACATGTATGTATGATTCTGCAGGACTTTGCAGCCGATATGCGAGTATACACGCCGCAAGGTGGCATTATTTTGGTGTCACATGCTTGTTATGTTATGCACAACTTGTGTCCAGGGAATGTACATGCAACTCTTTGCAGGCTTTTTTTGACTCCTTTGTTGTGTTATTATTTAGGGAATGTACATGCAACTCTTTGCATGCTTTTTTTCGTAAATTTTTTAAAGTTTTTTGGTTTGTCCAGGGAATGTACATGCAACTCTTTGCAGGCTTTTTTTGTTTCATAATTGACACAACGAACATTGGTCTTACAAAAACAAGTTTGAAATTTTATACGCCGTTAGAAAGTTACATTTGTAATCCCCATGACGGTTAAAACAACATTGAAAATTATGGGTATCTTTAAAAACAATATTGAAATTAATTTTTGTGACAAAAAAAAAAAGAAGATGAAAAGTAGTTACATTTCTTTAATTGACTTATTTATTATTTATTAGTTTTATTTATTGTGTAAACTTATTTATTCAAATTATTGAGGGTAAATTATTGATAAATCCCATTTAAAAGTGTTTTAACCTAAGAAGTCCATGAAGAAATTTTTTAACCCATTTAGTCCCATGTATGTATAGTTTTATTCCATAAAGTCCTTTTTCTTGATTTACACTATTTTCTTGGACACTTATGCCCTTATATTTAATTTTGATATCCTTATAAATATTTTTTGAATGGTTAGCAATTTTATGATGCGAACATTCATATTTTAAAATTCACACTGGTAGGAATGTAAAATTGGCCCATGGGCGGCCCGAAACCCGCCTGCGAGCCGGGGCGGCCCGAAACTCGCCCACGAGCCGAGGCGGGCCCGGCCCGTTGACAATGTGAATATTCACATTGACATGTTAACATTCACATTAATAGGAGTGTAAAATTGGCCCTCGTTTCGTGGTGGCGCGAAATACGCTTGCGGCCCATTGACGGCTCGGGGCGAGCCCGGTCTGGCCCGTTGACAATGTGAATATTCACATTGACATGTTAACATTCACATTGATAAGAGTATAAAATTGGCCTGCGACCTATGGCTCGCCAAAAGCCCGCTCGCCGCCCGAAGCGGGCCCGGCCCAGCCCGTTGACAATATGAATATTCACATTGACATGTTAACATTCACATTGATAGAAGTGTAAAATTAACCCGTGCCTCGTGGCTGCTCGAAACCCGCTCACGGCCCATGGGCGGCCCGAGGCGGGCCCGGCCCGGCCTGTTGGCAATGTGAATATTCACATTGACATGTTAACATTCATATTGATAAAAGTATAAAATTGGCCAGCGGCCTAGGGGGACCCGACCCGGCCCGTTGACATGTTAACATTCACATTGACATGTTAACATTCACATTGACATGTTAACATTCACATTGATAGGAGTATAAAATTGACCAGCGGCCTAGGGCAGGCCCGACCCGGCCTGTTGACAATGCGAATATTCACATTGACATGTTAACATTCACATTGATAAGAGTATAAAATTGGCCAGCGGCCTAAGGCGGGCCCGACCTGGTCCGTTGACAATGTGAATATTCACATTGACATGTAAACATTCACATTGATAGGAGTATAAGATTAGCCCGCGCCTCGTGGCAGCCCGAAACTCGCCCACAGCCCATGGGCGGCCCAGGGCGAACCCAGCCCGGCCTGTTGACAATGTGAATATTCACATTGACATGTTAACATTCACATTGATAAGAGTATAAAATTGGTTCGCGGTCTATGGGCGACCAAAAGCCCGCCCGCCGCTTGATGCGGGCCCGGCCCATTGACAATGTGAATATTCACATTGACATGTTAATATTCACATTGATAGGAGTGTAAAATTAGCCCTTGGCTCGTGGCTACCCGAAACCTGCCCACGGCCCATGGACGGCCCGGGGCGGGCCCGGCCCGGCCTGTTGACAATGTGAATATTCATATTGACATGTTAATATTCATATTGATAAGAGTATAAAATTAGCCAGCGGCCCAGGGCGGGCCCAACCCGGCCCGTTGACAATGTGAATATTCACATTGACATGTTAACATTCACATTGATAAGAGTGTAAAATTGGCCTGCAGCTCGTAGGCGGCCCAAAGCCCGACCGCAGCCCGAGGCGGGCTTGGCCCAACCCGTGACAATGTGAATATTCACATTCAACATTAACATTGATAGGAGTGTAAAATTTGCCCGCTGCCCGAGGTAGGCCCGGCCCGGTCTGGTCCGTTGACAATGTGAATATTCACATTGACATATTAAAATGCACATTGATAGAAATGTAGAATTGGCCCGCGGCCCGTGGGCTACCCGAAGCCCGCCCATGGCCCGGGGCAGGCTCGTTTCGGTCCGGGCCCAAGCATGTCCGAGACCCTAGGTTAGGGCCTAGGTCATCACTTTGAAGTCCAGCCCGGCTCATCGGCTCGCTTAAGGCCCATTCAAGGCTCGGTCCGATGCCCAGCCCGCCCGAGGCGCAATGTATTTTTTTGTGAAAAATAATAAAATTTTGGTAGAAAAAATTTAAAAGAATTAAAAAAAAAATGGCCAGGCCAGCCCAAGCCCGACCTAAGCTCGAGGCTAGGCCCAGGCCCACCGGCCCGACCCGAGGCTCGATCATCGGCCCGTCCAAAGCCCGAATACCCTTGTGCTAGGGCTAGGGCCTGGCCCTAATTTTTTGGCCCATGGGCCGGCCCAGGAAAGGCTCGTTTGGGCCCAAGCTCGAGCCTAGTCCGAGACCCTAGGCTAGGGCCTGGGCCATCACTTTGAAGCCCGGCCTGGCCCATCGGCCAGGTTAAGGCCCATTCAAGGCTCGGTCTGAGGCCCGGTCCGCGCTGAGGCCTAGTGTCTTTTTTTGTGGAAAATAATAAAATTTTGGTAGAAAAAATTAAAAAGAATTAAAGAAAAATGGCCAGGCCCGCCCCGGGCCAACCACGGGCCATGGGCGGGTTTCGGGCAGCCACGAGGCACGGGCTAATTTTACACTCCTATCAATGTGAATGTTAACATGTCAATGTGAATATTCACATTAGTCAACGGGCCGAGCGCAGTCCGCCCTGGGCCGCTGGCCAATATTCTTCATAACTCCTTTAATCAATGTTGAATGTTAACATGTCAATGTGAATATTCACATTGTCAACAGGCCAGGCCGGGCCTGCCCCGGGCCGCCTACGGGCCGTGGACAGGTTTTGGACAGCCACGAGGAGCAGGCTAATTTTACACTCCTATCAATGTGAATGTTAACATGTCAATGTGAATATTCACATTGTCAATAGGCCGGGCCGGGCCGGGCCCGCCCCGCCTCGGGCCGTGGGCGGGCTTTTGGTCGCATATGGGTCGCGGGCCAATTTTATACTCTTATCAATGTGAATGTTAATATGTCAATGTGAATATTCACATTGTCAACGGGCTGGACCAGGCCGGCCCCGGGCCGTCCATTGGCCGGCCCCGGGCCGTCCATAGGCCGCGGACGGGTTTCACGCCGCCACGGGACGCGGGTCAATTTTATACTCCTATTAATGTGAATGTTAATATGTCAATGTGAATATTCACATTGTCAATGGGCCGGGCCCGCCCCGGCCAGACTCGAATTTTTCCGGGCACCCACGAGGATCGACATGGGACGGGCCACTACACATTGACAATATGAACATTCACATTGACGGTGTGAACATTCACATTAGAGATATTTTGGTAATTATGTTACCCATAAGACTTATTGAAACATAAGAAAATAATGTGAACTAAATGGAACATAAGTAGATGAAAATTGTATTTTGGTCTTCTTATCTTAAATAGGACCTAATGGAATAGTCAAAAAGAATATAGGTTGGATGGAATAAAACTCTTAGAAAGTGGATTTATCAAAAAAGCTCCCAATTATTGAATATAGGCAGAAAAATACTTACATTTCAATAAATAAAAAAATTATTTAGTTATTGGGTGCTTCTTATTTATTTAATGCAAAAAAAAAAAAAGTAGGATGAAAAGTAGTTACATTTCTTCAATTGACTTATTTATTCTTTATTAATTTGATTTATTGTGTACACTTATTTATTCAAATTATTTCATAGTACCAGAATAGTACTTAAATTTCAATAAATAAAAAAAATATTTATTTATTTGGTGCTTTTTATTTATTTAATGCAAAAACATTTTACTAGTTTCATTATCTTATTTATTTATAGTTATCTTCATGTACATTATTTGATTCCAAAACAGTTCACATCAAATATTCAAAAAGTGGATGTGATATACGTCCAAAAGCCAACAATCCTAAAGTTAGATGGTTATATGCAAGCATGCAAATATAAATTGAACAAACTTGCAAATGTAGTAGCATTCACATGGTTTTGTTTGGTGTACTAGGCTTTGGACAATCACATGCCCACAGTAGCCTACGTTGATTTGCTCATTGCTTATGCTTCTGCAGGAGTGTTATATATCATGGAGTTGTGCAACTCATTTTGGCAATTAAAAGTTACAACTGGTAGTTCTTCTTTCATATAATTTGCAACGTCTATGGATGCACAAGAGGGTACTGGCTCGGGAGTCATACGCAATGGCCAAATAAATGCTTGGATACGAGAGATGATCGGAGAAATGGAGTCGACGACATCAATGATTTGGATGAAAATTGCTCGCGTTGCCAACGAGTGCGCGTATGTTGACAGGACTCCGTTTTACACATCTGCATTGACTGGTAGCATGTGGATGCAGGAGATGCTTAGAGGAAGGAATGAAGCATTTTAGTGAAATTTTCGGATGTCACAGGAGGTGTTCT